ATATTAACTATATATATTAACTAAATATATTAAATTTTTTTAACTGATATTGTATGTTTTTGCAAGACAAACATATACTTAGGTAAGGTGGGGAAAATAATCACACAAAATGTTATTTCAAACATTCAACACCTTCCTGAGAATACACATCTGATAATGAAAAGTGTATTTGCATACACAACAGCATATATGGATATCCTTTACACATATCATACAGTACTTTAAATATTTTGTTATATTGTATAAAAGAGAAAAACTTTATAATACACAAATTAGTCACCAGATTACATGTAAAACTACATGAATGACTACTGCTAAAATAAAGAGATATTTTTCATTGATTTATTATTTTCATGTTACCATCACAATAGTCTTGCCTATGTCCATAAGTAACATACATTGCTGTTGATGTGCGCTGTACGGATAGTCCTAATACGCTTCTGGTAATGATTATAAAATACAGTTAAACATGAAGGAGGAGATTGCTGTTGAAACACCTAATTGGCTTCAGTTTTTTAATTTCCTACCTTTATATGACAGTGTATAGAAAACAAACCCACAAGACTTTGCCAGGATCAAGACAGAAACATTTACTATTAGCATTGAATGTGAAAGATGCATAAAAAAAACTAAAAAATTGTTAACATTTCATCCAAATATTTGGTGTTAAGATAATTCTCAAAGAAATTTTATTTTCTGAAATGACAACTGTAATGAAAAATTATTAGGCTACTTAATTTTTGTTATTAGATATACAATATGGTTATATTTGCATACTTCAAGTGTATTAAAGAGTAAAACGTGTAGTTAGCTAGTTATTACACAAGTTATTGTTGCAAAAAACATACCTCTAACAAGCCCAATGCTTGCTTTCATGAATCTGTACAAGTTCATTTATATAAGTTTTCTGCAATGAACAAGTACACAGCATTGTCACAAGTAAATAGACGCCACCTTTTCGGAAAAAATTAAATTTTTCAGTCATATTCACATGAATTAACATATTTATAATTTAATTAATATCTAGTAGATCTTCCTTTCGCTTCGTGGAG